CTAGGTCAATCTAGTCAAAGGTGCAGCAATGGACGAGAAACCCTCCACAAAATGACGATAATATCCGGCCAAGCCAAGAAAACTCCGGATCTCAGCAGCTGAAGACGGTCTAGGCCAACTCTGAACTTCTTCAATCTTCTTCGGATCTACCTTGATCCCATCACTAGACATCACGTGCCCCAAGAACACCACAGAATCAAGTCAAAACTCACACTTAGAAAATTAAGCATAAAGCTTCTTCTCCCTCAATGTCTGGAGTACAATTCTCAGATGCTGATCATGACCCTCTTGGCTGTATAAGTACACTAGTATATCATCAATGAATACTATGACAAAAGAATCAAAATATGACTGGAATACACTATTTATCATATGCATAAATGCTATTGGGGAATTGGTCAACCCAAAAGATATCACAAGAAACTCGTACTGACCATAGCGGGTCCTGATGCCATCTTCAGAATATCCGAATCCTGAATCTTCAGTTGATAATACCCAGACCTCAAATCAATCTTAGAGAACACTCTAGCACCCTGAAGCTGGTCAAATAAGTCATTAATGCGCGGTAGTGGGTACTTGTTCTTAATTATAACTTTGTTCAAATACCTATAATCAATGCACATCCGCATAGTACCATCCTTCTTCTTCACAAATAGAACCGGCGCACCCGAAGTCGACACACTAGGCCTAATGAATCCCTTATCAAGTAGCTGCTGAAGTTGTTCTTTCAATTCCTTCAACTCTGCTAGTGACATATGATACAGAGGAATAGACATGGGCTAAGTGCCCGGCACCAAGTCAATACCAAAATCAATGTCCCTGTCGGGTGGCATACCCAACAGGTCTGCAGGAAACACATCTGGAAAGTCCCGTACTATCTGAACGGAATCAATGATAGGAGTATCAGCACCAACTTCCCTCACAAAGGCCAAATATGCCAAACATCCCTTCTCAACCATCCATTGAGCCTTCAAATATGAAATCACTCTACTGGGAACATAATCCAGGGAACCTCTCCACTCAATCCTAGGCAATCCCGACATCGCCAACGTCACCGTCTTAGCATGCTAATCCGTAATAGTGTGACATGGTGACAACCAATCCATGCCCAAAATCTCGTCAAAATCAACCATACTAAACAGTAAAAGATCAACTCTCATCTCTAATCTCCCAAGAGTCACCATAACATGACTGATACACACGGTCCACAATAATAGAATCACCCGCCAGTGTAGATACATGAACAGGAATAACTATAGATTCACGAGGCATATCCAAATAGCTAGCAAAGTATGGTGATACATTTAAATAAGTGGAACCAGGGTCAAATAATATGGAAGCATCCCTGTGGCGCACTGAAACAATACATATGATCACTGCGTCTGAAGCAACTGCCTCTGGCCTGGCGGGAAAAGCATAGCATCGAGCTTGACCACCACCTGATCGACCTCCCACTCTAGGGAGACCTCGAGATGCCTGAGTCCTACCCCGAGCTGGCTGAGCGGGTGGTGAAGTAACTGGTGCAGAAGTCATAGCCTAACCTCGCTGCTGAATTGGACCTCCCATAAGGCAGGGGAAATACCTCCTCACATGCCCCAACTCTCCACACTCATAGCAACCTTGATCTACAAATGGCAGCGGGGACTGAGCCAGACCCCGAGAACCAGAATAACCACTAGAAGAACCAGGTACTAACGACCCCTGAACTGATGGAGCAAGGGATAAACTCTGAGCTAGGAGAGCACTGAAAGATGGCTGACCCGGACGAGCACTTTATGAACCATGACTAGCTGATGCACCATGATGAACCAGACGAGCCATCTTAGCGGACTTATAAGGACGACCCCTGCTGTGATGGGACTGTCCTCCAAATGAGGGACTGCTGAAATCACCTGAACTACGAGGCCTCTTGGACTCCCTCTCCTCATGCTCTTGACTGCAAACCAGCTCTAAGCATCTACCAATATCGACAGCCTAGTCGAACCTCGCACCCGGCGTTACCTCCCGAGCCATAATGAAGTGTAATCCATAGTTGAAGCCTTAATGAACCTCCTAATCTTCTCCCTCTTAGTGGGAACCAACAATATCGTGTGACGAGCCAACTCTGCAAACCTTATATCATACTGAGTCACTGTCATACCTTCCTAGCATAGCTGCTCAAGCTGCCTACGCAACTCCTCCTTGCGAGTCTTTGGAACAAACTTCTCTAAGAACAGAACCGAGAACTCATGCCATGTAAGTGGTGCCGCATCGTCTGGCATGTCCCACTCACAGGCCTCCAACCATCTGTAGGCTTCCCCTGGCAGCTTAAAATTACTAAATGAAACTCCATTGGTCTCCAAAATACCCGTTGTGCTAAGGATCCGCTGGCACCTATCTATAAAATACTGAGCATCCTCTAACTCGGCCCCACTAAAATCTGGAGGCTTAGGCCTCCCAAACCGATCTAGTCTCTTTTTCTCCTCATCACTCATAGGTGGGCTAACTTGGGCCCAAGCAGCTACAACCGGCTGGGCTGGTAGAATCCTCAATGTCTAGAGTCCCTGAGCTACCTGCTCTGGAGTGCGGGTGGCGGGAGTTTGAGCACCTCCCCCGATCTGAGAAGTGGTTGGTGCAGCTGTAACTGAGACTGCCTGAGCTAGGCTCGTGCACACAGTCAAAATCTGGGCTAAGGCCTCTTGAAGGTCTGGGATCATAATGGGCACAGCTAGTGCTTGAGCGGGTCCCACCGGAAATGGCATGGACCATGGGTTATTGCATCGTATAGCCTGTTTTGAGGCTACTTTTTAAATTCTTTCTTTTGTTAGCGAGCTGGACTAAATTTGCTTTAAAAAGTAATTGAATAAAATATTATTTTTTTGCGACAAATTTAATTCACTGAACTAATGGAGGAGCACTTAAAGTATTCTTTAGAAGGTCATCCTAATATTGACCAACTTCCAATAAAATTATCATTTGTACATTATCATTTTTTCTTTCTTACTTTATGTATAATTCCTTCCCTTTTTTTTGGTTCTCTTTTTCCAGTAAGTACTGGTACGGGATTGTTTCTTGATTTGAAAGTTTCTTTGCCCTATTTCCATAAATCTTAAGGCAAGTATATGAATAAGGAAAGTTTACTCTCTCGCTCTCTTTTTTTTTTTTATTTTTTTCACGAACCCCAAAGAGGTGGATTTTTGTATTAATAAGGAAAATTACTTAGTTTTTCCTACTTCATCTTTCCTCTTTTTCCTCTTTTGTTTCTTTCCAAGAATTCAATACACGTTACCTATAAAATTATAAATAGATATCTTCTACCCTCCTCTATGTACCACTTCACAATATATATAAATTTTCTCTTCTTACATTCTCCTCTCTAGCCAGTTAGAATTCAAAATGTCTTTTCAAACAACTGGGTTGGAGAATATTATTCCTGCAAATAATACTGTTTATGGAGGTGGAAATCAGAAAAAAATGAACTTTGATGGTTGGCATGTCCCAAATTAAGCCCTTTGGGCTGTTGTAGCTTTCGTTGTGCTAGGCCTGCTATTGTGTATAATGGAGATGATCAAAAGCAAAAAATTCTCCAAAAATACTGAGCCAAAGGATAGTGATGAGGCAAAGGATAGTAAACAAACAAAGGAAAGTCATGATGATGCTACGTCTAAAGTGTAGAAGGGAAGAAAAACAGAATATATATATATATATATATATATATATATATATATATATATACACACTTCGACAGTCTTTTAGTTTTTGATATTATGTCAGCAATTTTGTTTCTTTTATTACAATCTTTGAGGAGAGTAAGAAATTGTTCGTCATGTTTTTCTTTCCTTTCAAGATTATATTTTTGGGTTTAACGATGTTATAGTATAGAAGAATAGAAGTTCAGATTCCGGAATTAATAAATTCGCACGACAAGAATACAAGAAAGTGAAGTTTCCTAACCGTTCGGTAGCCTCTCGAAGATAAGTACAGACGTCTCCATACCGATTCGAGACTCTACTAAATTTGCTCATGATTCGCGAGACCAAAGTAACCTAGTGCTATGGTACCAACTTGTCACGACCCAAAATCCCAACCTGTCGTGATGGCGCCTAACAAACTTACTAGGTAAGCCGACAATCATATAACATCTAAGCATTTGAAAAACACATGATTTAATAAACTCAACAACGGAAAATCTCGTAAATATTTGATAAAAGTAACTGAAATACTACTACAATCACCCCAAAACCTGGCGTCAACGAGTACTTGAGCACTACTAAGTATCAACATAACCAAAACTCTAGTACAACTGTTTGAATAATAGAACAGTACTGAAGAAAATAAAAGGAAGAAAGTCAAGGTCTGCGGACGTCATAACAACTATCTTGAAGTCTCCAAGAGTGTAGTGGCAACGATCTAGCAATCACCGTATCCAGATGTATCTGGATCTGTACACGAATTACAAAGTGTAGTATGAGTACAATCGACCCAATGTACATAATAAGTAACAGGACTAACCTTGGGCTGAAAGCAGTGAGGAGCTCAAAAGGATACACTCAGAACCAATATAATGGCAACACAGGTAAGATAATCACCACTACTAAAAACATAGTATTTTCCAACGAAAAATTTGTCAGTGGCAATTCCCACCGAAATGCAATGGGAAAATTAAAATTTTTGTTCCAGAAAAAATAAATAAGATTTCCCATTGACTATCCGTGGGAAAGTTTTGGCCCAAAAATGCGCGTATTTTAGTTTCCTCTGATTCAGTGGGAAAATTTATTAAAAAAATAATTATACAAAAGTAAAAAAAATTCCTAGAGAAGACAGTGGGAATTTAAACAATAAATAAAAAAAAGTTTTTAAATATTCCCCGAGGCTCAGTGTGTACGAATTTTTTTGAATTTTTAATTTTTTTTTATAATTATGAAAAATATTTCCCACAGAACATTCCCACGGTAGTAGTGGGAAACTTATTATTATTAAAATTTTATAAGTTTTCTCTTAATCTATTCATTCACATAACATTTTAGTGTTTTTTCCCTCTGTCTCTCCACGCACAGACGAGTTTTCACTCCATTCCCAGGTAAGTCGACCCCTCTCTCTCTCTCTCTCTCTCCCTCACTCATTCACCCGATCTCCTTTTTTCCTTTTTGATTTTCCCCAAAAAACTTCGAATTTTAAGGATTTTATACTGTTTCAAACCGTAGGTTTAAAAAAATTAATGTTGTTCTCTTGATTTTATACTGTTTCAAACCTCGATATATACTTTACTGAACATTAATCATTATAACAGAAGACATCAACCGATCTAGAAGGGGCTTACGGTCTTCAGGATCCAGCACTGTTGTGTTACGACAGTCAGGGCAAAGTTTTCGACCATCATTCAGAGTGATATAATTCATATCTCCTATCTACAAATATGTGAGTAAGTTCTTAGTTAACATGTTATAACCTGAGTAGTTATTGATATATTTAGCTTAACATCTAATATTATTGAAAGTAAAGCCAGTGTTGCAGCTAGAAAGGTTATTGTGTATGTTAGCTACTCAGGAATCATCATGTAATTGCTAGTGATTGATTTATTAAAAAGATTACTTAGCATTTTTTCTTGATAATTCTCAAACTAATCGAGAGGTTAGTATTCATCCAGTTTTTCAAACATGCTAAGGGCTATAGTAAACTAATTACTAGTACTAATTATCAACTGATTCCCTGTCTGTGGATCGTCACACTCCTATATATATGCATTATTTGATATTAAAATCTGAAATGTTAAGTCAGAAGATAACATATATGAAAACACGATTGCCTAGTTAGTTTAGTGCCCTCATGAGGCTTAACAGAGCTCTGCTCATATTGACCTTACTTCATTTGAATGAATATAGATTCAATGAGGAACATCTTCTGTTTAATAATATAGAAGGGTGATTAAAAACCTTAAATCTAGAACAGCTACAGCACTGAGGAGTTCCATCAGATGTATGCTTCTTACAGAAAATCTGGCCCCAGTAGGTACACCTTAGCCACACCGAGCAAATTTGTTAAAGGCAGTAATCAAACATAGTAGAAGCATCAGGTGACACATTCCAATATTTTGAGGAAAGGGAAGGGCATTTGAGAAAAGAGAACACAAACTTGCTCTTCACAAACATCACAAACAAGAATATTGCACCGCTTGCTACTCTTTCTCCACCACGAAGTGCTCCTACAAAATCACAAAAACATGCCAATTTGATTAGATGGTATGCAAAATACAAACACTTGAATTGTGCTACAATTACTTTGATGTATGAACAAATGGATTTAACTCCTTGAAAAGTTTCCACCATTTCAGTTCTCTGACTCCAGTACTAGTGCTGTAATAATGTAAACCTTTAGTAAGCAAATATCTGAACTAGTGATGTCATTGTATCATGTTGTTCCTGTAGCTTTTGTGACTTATCCTGAACACTGCAATATTTTTGGCAATGACAATGAACAAACTTTATATGTACAACAGAAATTTTAAAATATAAAAGAAGTGACATAAAAATATCACACTCCACCTGACATTTTCCTTCTCTGCTTTTCTTAAAAACAAATCTCTTGCTTGTTTGCTAGTTATTGAATCCAAACCCATAACTAGATGTGTTTTAAATACTTCACATATTTTTGCCATATAAGTTTTTTCTCCAAGGGATACCTCATAATAGGATTTCTGTAATTAGTCAAATTTGTAAGTTAGTACATCAAAGAATTCCAAAGATCAGGTGTTTGCTTATCATAATCTGCGGAAAGAGATCCTAAACCTCCATATATAAACTTTACTCAATCCACTAAGAAGCTAGAATGATTGCCCAAGTTTTTGTGTGGGTATTATGACATGCTATTAATAAGTAAAGTTAACAGTATATCTAAGGTGCTTCTAAGAAAAGTTTCCAGTGACATTTGGAGGATGGCAACTACACAAAGCATAGAATGTTTCTTGGTGTTCAAAGAGAAAATTTATGCTTTAAAATATTGCTGGTAAAGCTCCTTGTATTCTAATTAGGCAAAGCAGTTGCTTGGCTCTTGTATAAGGGGACCTACTGGGCCTTTCTTCTACAATAGGAAAATCTGTGCTGAACTGTTTTCGTGAAGCTCCTTGAAGTGTCAATTTTGTGTGCTTAATTAGGCAAAGCCATAGTGCTAGCCTTATATAAAGGCCACTTATTGCCTTGGCACCTCCGTATGTTTAAGTGAGATCAATTTCAACCTATCACTTCAATTTGCTTCAGTTTATTAATGGAACTGCATTTACAGTCCGGTGTATAAGATTTTGGATCTGATGGAATGACTGTATTATTGTACTTTGATGGAATGAGTGTATGATGAAGAAAAAGAAAAATACATGGGAAAACAAAAGGCGAAAGTTGTTATGTGCATTAAATATTTCTTACTTATTTAAATATAGCATAACACTTATTCTCATGTTTACTTTAAAGTTTGAGAAATAAAGATAATTACTTGCATAATTTTCTTTAATAAAATTTACTTTTATAATAATTGAAATAATTTTACAGAATAATTTCAAACAAATCTTGGAGGAGTTCATTCAAAGTCAGTCGATTGATGATCAAGGTAGGCCAATCCAACCAACCCAAGATGAGCTCATGGACATGTGGATTAAGGCAGTTGGTGGCGTGCATAAGGGGAGAGTCTAGACCTTGGATCAGAGTTTAGTCTCAGTCGTCATACTTCTGGATTGTGTTGTTCTTATTCTTCCTCACATTGCTAAGGGAGGAAGAAATGAGGCGAAAGGACGACGCATTAAGACTTGTCACTAGTGATGTTGAAAGCCTCAAATCTCAGATAAACTCTCTTAGCATCTGGTGTATTTCCTCTGCCCCATTCTCCGGCACCATCTGATGATAATTAAGGAGTAGTTTCTTGTATTAATTTGTCTTGGATGATACTTTGGATGTTGAATGTTGAATGTTGGATTTTTTGAGTTTTGTTCTACTCTGTTTAGTTGGATATTGTTTATGAAATGGATTGAATCAGATGTTATTTTTGAAATGAATTGGAGTGTTGAGTTTTGGTATTTAAATGCTTAATTGTATTTAGTCTTGTATTGTTGGTTGTACATTCAGTTTGGCAGGTGGTGTAGCTCTAAAAATAGAATTGGCCATGAAAATATTTTTCAGATTTCCCACGGATTCCCCACCGACGATGTGGAAATTTTTGTTCCTTTTTCCCAGAATTTTAATATTTCCCATTGATTCTCGTGGGAATGTTCATATACTTATTTCCAGGTTATGCATATTTTCCACTACTATCATGGGTAAATTTAAAAAATTGCTAAATTAATTTTAATACTTCCCACAGAGATAGTGAAAAATTTAAGAAAATTAAATTATTATATTTTCTTACTTTTTCCAGTATTGTTTTGGGAAATTTCACTATGTGACCCCACCAAGTTCACGTGAAACGCTTCCTGGGAAATTCTCTGGGAATTACCCACGACGGTCCTGGGAAACTATTTTCCCACCAGCCCTTTTCCCACTGAGCGTCTCCCCTGGGAATGTCTTGGAAATATATAAATTTCACACGGATTTCCCACCGATATGTCCGCGGGAAAAGACTGTGTTTCTAGTAGTGGACAATGGCAGTAAATAACTCAGAAAAACTTTCATATTTAGCTCGTTCATGGTACAGAGATTTAGACATGCTTTCAAGTTCACAATTTAAGACCAATATTAATAATAACATGTCAAGTATAGGTAGCATGAGGAATGGTACATCTCTATGCCTACATTTCAAATATGCATGTCAATGTAAGGTATCACAATAATATTCATAGGTACTCACACTCTCAGAGTACTCAATCTGTCTATCTCGATGCCAACTCATCAGACACATAATCACTCAGCACTGTACGAGTGCCTGGCATCAATGCCCCTCACAAAAGTACGTGTAGATATCACTGTGCCTGCGCTCACTGCTGGTGTGTCAGACTACGGAGGGGCAGATCCTGCCCAAGCGCTAATATAAAGCCTAAAAGACCTATTACACTGTGCAGCCCGATCCACAATAACACTTACAACCCGGCTCTCATGCCTACCTCAATTATCAATCTCTCAAGTCTCGAGGGCTCACAATCTCGTACTACTTAGACCAACAATAATAACATGTGATGTAACAGTAAATGATAACAGAGAGTGAGATATGACATGCAAACGAAGGATCATGACTGAGTACATAATTGCATTTAAAGCATATAACTTAAAACAACAAATATAGCCTTAGTGTGTCTCAATCAAATAAGCATATAACCTAAACATGATTTCTAACATGAATCATATATCAATTACCCTAACACGTAGGAATTACACGGATAAAACAAGACTTGATATCAACACAGTATAAAAGAATTAACCGGATCATGATTACCATAGTGCACGCCTACACGCCCGCCACCTAGCATGTGCGTCACCCTAACACAAACCATATAATACGTTTTCCAAGGATTTATACCCTCAGTTCCAAGTTTAGAAGTGTTACTTACCTCAAAGTGTGCAACTCAATGCTCCAACTAACCTTGCCTCATGAATCGGCCTCCGAACGACTCGAATCTTGTCACAAACAACTTAATATAATCTATACGAGCTATAGGAATTAATTCCATGTGATAAAGCTAAGACCTTTAACCAAAATCAAAAACTCAAACTCGGGCTCGCATCTCGAAACCCGACAAAACTCATAAAATCCGAACACCTATTCAATTACGAGTCCAACCATACCATATCGTCCAATGTCAACCACAAATCGACCCTCAAATCCCCAAATCGTACTCTCCAATACATAGTCCAAAAATCCCCAAATTTCACCTCAAACACACATAATCTAGATGTGAAAATCAATGGCTATTCAATATAAAACTAACTTACCTCTTGAATTATAGCCAAACCCCTATCAAAAATCGCCTCTAGTCGAGCCCCCAAAGTCCAAAATGAGAGAAATCATGAAACCCTTCGCTAATCCTTTTGCCCAAGCATCTTGCATTTGCGGACTCAGCAGCCGCACCTGCACTTCCGCTTTTGCGGAGAAGTCATCTCTTCTGCGAAGTCTACTTAAGTTCCCGACCTAGTGCACCTGCGGTCCCATCCTCGCACCTGCGGGACTGCTTCTGCGGTCTCTCCATCGCTTTCGCGCTACCGTACTTGCGGGGTCCTCCCGCTTCTGCGATCCCTCATCCTTTAGTAAAAATCCGCTTCTGCGGATTATCCTCCGCACCTGCGCTCCCATGATGCCTTCCCATTTCTTGCATATGAACCTTTATGGGTGCTTCTGCGGCTCCGCACATGCGGCCAAAACCTCGCAGGTGCGGTTACACCAAAGCTGTAGCCAACAACAATTCCAAAAGTCAAATTCCCAAATCAATTTAAATTTGAATCACCCAGAGGCCCCCGGGACCCCATCTAAACATACCAACACATCCTTAAATACAATACAAACTTAGTCGAAGCCTCAAATCACATCAAACAATATCAAATTCACGAAACGCACCCCAATTCAAGCCTATTGAAACTAATGAACTCCCAACTTTTAAAACTAATGCCGAAACATATTAAACCAACTCCGATTGACCTCAAATTTTGCACTCAAGTCATAAATGACACAATGGACCTATTTCAACTCCCGGAATCAAAATTCGAACTCGATATCAACAAAGTTAACTCTTGGTCAAACCTTTCAACATTCCAACTTTATCCAATTCAAGCTAAAACAAGATACGGACCTTCAAATCAATATCTTAACATACTCCTAAGTCCAAAATTACCATACGAAGCTATCAAAACGTCAAAACCCCATTCCGGAGTCGTCTACACAAAGGTCAAACTCCGGTTAACTCTTCCGACTTAAGCTTCCAACCTTGGGACTAAGTATCACAATTCACTCCGAAACCTCTCCAAAACCAACCCAACCACCCCGGCAAGTCACATAACCACAAATGAATATAGAAGAAGCGATAAATGGGAGAATGGGGCTAACATACACAAACTAACTGGCCGGCCGTCACACTTGTATTTGGAATGCTGGTGCATCTTTAATGCTAAACTTTGTTATCTACAAGATCTCAGCTTCAATATCTGCACGCAAGGTGCGGAAGTGTAGTATGAGTACAACATACTATATGTACTCAGTAAGTATCTTTACTAACCTTAGTGAAGTAGTGACGAGGTATTTGAGTCAAAAGATACTCACTTTACTTAACCTGTGCAGCTTAATAACATATACATGTACACAAAAATAGTACCAAAATCTATGCAAGAGGTACATGTAAGGCCATATGTACACATAGAGAAGATATGCACAAGCATTATGAACAAACTAACCATTCAGCATATAGAGAAGATATGCATCCGATATCAAATAACCCGTCAACAATTGCATATAGAGAAGATACGTATGAATAAACAATTCATGTTACACAGGTTGACATATAGAGAAGACATGTACCGTGAATCATTTCATCAAACAAAGTAGCATATTGCGAAGATATGCATTAAAAGGCATATATATATATATATACATATTCCGGAGCTAGCATATAGAGAAACTATGCGGTAAAAATCATGTATACATAAAATCATGTATACATCGAATGAGTTTGCATATAGAGAAAACATGCAAAATCCAACAACTGATCAGTTTTCCATAATACATGTGTACGTCATCAAGAAGAAACATGAGAGGACGACCCTAGGGGGGTGGATCCTTATCCACACGCTGCACGAACAACTCATGTGCCAAAATCACAACAATTTCATGGACAACTCACATGCTATATTCATAACAATCGCACGGACAACTCACGTGCCATAATAACTCAAGCCACACAGACCACTCACTTGTTTGTTAATCCAGCCCATCTTATAAAAAGCATATGCAAGAACACATATATATGAACAATGGATATCAAATCACATACTCATTGACGGAGAAAAATAGCATGCTAAAGTGTATGCATGTGCGAAGTGTACGACTACAACTCAAATTAGGTGGGTATGCCATATAATAATGAGTATCATGTTCAAACAGGAAATCAAAACCTACACATGATCTCTTGCATGATTCAAGAAATTCACATAGTCATACAAATACATAAAGCATGTTAACATAAAACACCGTATCCAAAAAAGATATGATATAGGATAAATACTACCCCGAGCATGGATAACCATGTCACATGCATATACTCTAGTCATTTCGCATATACATCGCGTCCGCATTTAGCAAATAATCTCATTTATTAGGAATAATTTTCTCAAACAAAAGCTAGGCAAGACACTTACCTCATTCGGGATAGTCTTCAACCTCAAATCGCTTCAAGACCTTGTTCTAGCCCTCCAACCACGCAACACAAGCTACACATTATCCAAGAAAGTCAAACAATGCATTAGGAAGCAATCCCAATCAATAAAATTTCGATCTTTGATGAATTTCCAAAAAGCCACACTGGGCTCGCGTATCCGAAAATTGAACCTAATATCAAATCTTGATGAACCATAGCCTGTCGAGTCCAAATATATAATTAGTTTTCAAATTGGTGGTCAAATCCTTAAAATACACTCTCTTAAAGTGTAGTCAAAACCCCCAAATTTCACTTTTAAATTCTATATTTTAGTGTCGAAATCCATAGGAATTCATGATATATAATCAAAATCAAGTTCGAAACACTTACCCTCATGATTTGGGTGAAATCCATCTCCAAACTTGCCTTGGTCTGCTCTCCAAGCATCAAAATTTGTGAAAATGAGCTCAAAATCTCAAAATTAAGCATTAAATACCCACGTCAGGGCTCCTTCTTCATGATTGCGGTCACCAACCTCGTGAAGGCAGTTCACAAAATGCCCATCATGATTTTACCCTTCGTGATCGCGGCTTAGAAGCTCTGCGAACACACTTGAACAAACATGCTCAACTCTTTCCAGATAGCCTCTAGTATAATAGCCATAACCTCTTGTACCAAGTTCCAAATGACAAACTGTTTGAT